AAACATCCCATTTCAATCTCAATTTAGATGAGCAAGTCTTCTATACATTGGCTGCACCATGTCATTTGTGATCACTCCAATAAAAAATTCTCAAGTAATCAAAATAAAATCTTATGTGACAATATTTTAATTGATTTTATTGTTATAACATAATGCGTATTTACTTTTTTGCATTTTATCTTTTTATTATCATTGATGTCAAAATTAATTTATATTTAAGACTATCTGAATGTCACGCTTTTATTTGACAGACTATAAATGACATGGTACATCGGTCAACCTAAGAATTTTTTGAATTGAAATAACTATAAAGTTTAATAAATCACCAAATGAATCTAATCTTACGATTCTTATAATAAATGAATTGGATTCTATATTCATATAAGCTTTAAAAAAGGGAACATATTAAATTGAATAGATTCAATTAACAATAAAGAAATCAAAATCAACCACATTGTGCACAGTTAATTAGAAATATTTGTGTGCTACAACCTCTACATTTTCCTGTATAAACAAACTCTTAAGCTGAGAAAATTTATACAGTCAAGCAAAAAAATTGAATCTTAAAAGCAATCTCAGAAATGGCTTCAAACAAAGTATCATCGTCATCACATCAACAACAATCATCCTAGGATTGATGTTATTGTTCATAGCTGCAGATTTTGGAGATGCTAATCTATTACCTGCACCATCATCATCTAATTTTTGCTTCCCAATGTGTCCTAGTCCTGAATGCGACCCAAGCAAAAGTGAGTGCGAGAACACTTGCATTAGAATATGCGAGGAAATTACAAATTACTCAGCTTGTGCTGCTTGTTGCCAAACGAGGTGTGGCCATTAAAGAATGCACTCATTAGAGAGCGAAAAGCTTTATGATCTGAGCTCTTAATTATTATAGTTTATTTATGCTTTGTTTCGTTTTCTTCTATTTATTATAAACAAAATTCATACATTTATGCATAAGGATTCTTGATTATTCCCAATGTTTTCTAATTATTTATGGGTTAAAGTGCACTTTTATTCCTGAATTATTCTCTGAAGAGCATCTAGTATCCTAAACTATTTGTCGTACCAATTTTGCCCCTATAGTAAATAAAATGTAACATATTTTTCTTGACTAATTATGATATACTTTTTATTAATATATACATTTATATAATCAATTTACTAAAATACACTTATCTATTTTTTAAATTATGATATACTTTTTTATTTAATATGTGCATCTATATAATCAATTTACTAAAATATCCTTGTCAATTTTTTAATTATGATATATTTTTATTTAATATATGCACTTATATAATCAATTTATTAAAATACCCCTATCTATTTTTAAATTATGATATATTTTTAATTAATATATGCATTTATATAATTAATTTACTAAAATACCCCTATCTAATTTTTTTAATTATGATATACTTTTTTATTTAATATGTACATCTATATAATAAATTTATTAAAATACCCCTGTCAATTTTTTTAATTATGATATATTTTTATTTAATATATGCACTTATATAATTAATTTACTAAAATACCCCTATCTATTTTTTTTTAAATTATGATATACTTTTTTATTTAATATATGCATCTATATAATTAATTTACTAAAATACCCTTGCCATTTTTTTAATTATGATATATTTTTTATTTAATATATGCATATTTACTAAAAAACTTTTGATTTACTTCAATGTTGATGAAGGGGCAAATCTGTTAAATAATTTTGTAACTAAGGTTATTTTTGTCCAAAAAAATTCACTTCCATGAAACCCATCTCATTTTCATGGGTCTTATCTTGGAATTCAATTCAACCTATTTCGATGGATTTCATTTTCACGTGGAAATGCATTTCATGCACATCAAACAAAAAAAAAATGTGAATTGCAATTTCATTTTCATTTTTATGTCTCCATTTCCAGCATACCAAACGGGACATAAGTGATTTTGGAAAATAGCTTTGGAGCAAAAATACACATTAATACTTATTTATTTGAAAGAAATCGTTGGCATTTGTAATTTTATTGATATAACATAACTTTAGGTCTCTACACTTTAATCAAATTTTATTACAGATTCCTGTATTTTTTTTTCGATGTTCTAGCAGGTTTTTATATTTTTAATTTTTAATTTTTAATATTTTAAGTTCCTCAATATGTGTTATTGTAGAGATCTAAACACCAAAAAATAAAATTTTAGAGACTTAAAATATTAAAAAAAAAAGTACAAGTACTTATGCCATAACTTGAGCAAATGAGTTCGGCACATAGCTTTTTCTTTCTTCGCATTTGTTTCAGTTTCCATCTGAACGCAGCAACATGGCAATATCATCATCATCATCATCATCATCATCTTCTGATGAGACCAAGCACGTGGCAGTGAGTCTATGGCCCTTTGCAAGCCACTTTACGACAACTTTACTTGAATTATCCAAAACTTGTCGCTTGACTTATTCCACATTTAATTATAATTTTTTTTTTTTGGCTGGAGGACACACCACGTTTATCAATGTCTACTCATAATGAATACTTTTCTTTTTTTTTTTTTTGCCAATAGTACTTTCTTGTTTGCTTTCATAAACACCACTGAAATTACATTGGACAGATTCATGTGATTTTGTTTCAACCACTATGCAGTGAATTGGGGACGACATGGCCAGTAGAATTTTATCTCATCTGAAATTTTAACGAAAAAAATTTAATGTCTATTTCATACTAGTGCCTCACTAAATACAAAAGAGAGAGCTGATAGGCATGGACTGGAAAAATCAAACAATTCGGATTTTAATTCCTTATTAATAAAAACAAGGTTAAAGTATATTCTTCATCCTTTAACTTTATAAAATATTAATTTAATTTTTTAACTTCATAAAATATTTTTTCAGTTCTCTATCCTTAATGCCATTAGCTTTGAATAATTATTTTTTGTATTAATTATTGTTATTTAGAAAAATTAAATTTAATATATCAACATTTAAAAATATTTTATATATCAATATTTAAAAAAATTTAACTTAATATATTAATATTTAAACATTTGAGTAAAGTGCAGGGACCCAAAGTTAATGAAATGGGTTGATAAAAAATAAAATGATGAGTCGATTGGAAGTTAAAAATCATGGAGAAATGAGAGTTACTATATGATAAAAAGGTGTTAATAAGGTTTAAAGATGCATGGAAGGAACAGCTTTGATAAACTTCCCATATTTCAATTTGACAACTTTTTAATTTAACTTGATAATATTCCATACCTTATAGTTGAAAAGGAAAAGTAACAATGAATTAAAAAGAAAGGAATAATAAATTTAGTATCTTTTGAAAAAAATTAAAACAAATATTAGGGTATGCAATGATCTCATAGAAAATATTTAGAAAAGAAAATTCAACCTCAACATAGTTATCTATTAAAATTAATAAATCATAAAATGAATCAAGTTCTATGGTTCCTCCGATGCATGAATTAGAAACTATAATCTTCTTCCATCTCCTAATAGAAGTTCTTAGGCAAAAAAGAAAGAGCTCTTCCTCTCTCTCGGTTTTTATTTTCTTTCTGCGTTTAGCAGCATCATCTCCTGCATCCTCCATCATTTTTTTCATTCTCAGTGTTCAATCTTCTTTTCTCCATTCATTCACAGCCACATTCACCCTTCCATTATTTACATCCACGCCACCTCATCCTTCCAAACCCCACTCTCAAATCATTATTCATTTATTATAATTCATCTCCATTAGTATTTGTTGCACAATTGGGTTGTTCCTTTTACCTCTTAATTGTTTAATTGAGTTGGTAATTTATCTAGTTGTTCAATTAGATAATTTAAACATATTTTTTAAAATTATTTTGATTTAATCATCATTGATTTTAATAGGTTTAATTTGCCTAATTTATAGTTGTTTTGATCTACTATGAGTTCTCTAGTGAATTAAGTGTTAGATTTTATATTTATGGGTTTTCTTTACTTTAATTAGGTAATTAACTTTATTAATTCTACTCTTCCATCATTTCCCTTTGGTCTAACTAATTGAATTGGGTTAAAAAAGTTAATTCCATGTAAAATCCTAAGTTGTCCCCTTTACCGCATTTGAATCAAACTTTTCTTAGTTTTTTGGTTAATTAATCCTTTTTGTCACTTAATTAATTTCTTTATCTTTCATTTCATTTTTTCTTGAAACAAATTCCCCCAATCATAATTTAGAATTTAAACATTGTGTAATAGAATTTAGTTGTTAGACTTTAGCATTAGCATCCATTTAGGTAATTTTAGTGGCATAAATTGCATTTTAGAATAGAAATCTTGAATTTAGTTTTTGAGGTTGTTTAGAATTAATATTTAAATACCTAGAACAAACTCAAGATAACTCCTAAATTGCTCCTTGAAAGAATAACCTAGGTTTGGCTTATACTATATTAAGTCAATCTTAATTTAATTGAGTGCTGAGTCAACTAAGGCAAAACATCAATGACCCTAAGTGATTTAGATGTTATTCAAATTTAAATTGGTTCTGGTAATAACTGGTTTAGATGTTTAGATGTTGATGATATCTAAACCAGTTGTAGTCATAACCGGTTTGGAAACATTGTTTTATTTTAAAAAAATTCATTTAATTTTTTCACTTAACCCGTCCATGATAGGCTGCAAACTTGCAAATTAAAAACAATATATACATCCAACCAGCCAAAATACAATCCAATTCAATCAAATTAATTGAAAATTATTTTCAATTTTATTTAATATTCAACATCCAAATAAGTTTGATAATTTTTCCTAATTCAACTACACCTATCCTAAATTCACTCATTCAATGGATTATTATTGTGAAGCTCTAACATAAATAGTCCCCAATATCTTCTAATTTCTTGGATCTCTGATTGTGAAAATGGAGATGAATCATTAAACATCTGCAAAAAAATCAAGGACAAGGAATTTAACTTAGCAATTCCAAGTAAACAAAAGATAGATTAGACCTCTAGAATTAGATTTACCTCTTCAGTAACTCTATCAAACCAGCCGTGATGATGTTGTACACGTGTCTCAACACATAAAAGCCACACAAGTTAGTAGGAGGTTGATGTCGGCTCTGTAGAATAATGGGAGAGGGATCTCTCTCTTCCTTCCCATCCTCTTTCCTTCCTTTTCTTATTTCTAATAATCAAATCAAGATTTTTGATAATCTAGATTTGGTCTCCTTCAAAAAATTTCATTTTAGTTTACTTTTATTGTATTTTTAAATTGTTCTTATTAAATTTTAGTAGTTTGAATTTTATTATTTATATTTTTTATAATTAATATTTTAATAATAATTTTATAGGAAATCAAATCTAGACGATTTAAATCTTGATCTAATGGCTAGAAAGGGAAAAGAATGGAAGAGGACATGAAGGAAGAGGAGAGAATCCATGCCCGTAGAATAACAACATTGTCAAAATTAAATTCAAAGAAAGCTCTATCATTAAAATCACGACGACATATGTTAATTACTTTTGGTGTTATCCATGTAGGATTCTTGACATCATGTAAGGTCTTGCCCAATCGAACTTGCTGGCCAATCCTCATAGCCCTATCATTCACATCACATCGTTAGTAACTTAATTACAAAAAATAATGTATTACAAAAATTCACTTACTGCTCACAAGACTTCTTCATTGCTGGATTGAGTTTATGATGTAGAGAGCATAAAAAGAGGATAGAATTGTTTTTCATTGAAAACACTATCAATTGCCAATGAGCACTACAAAAAAAATAAAGTGATTTAAGCAAATATTTAATACTATTATAAATAAATTCAAACATAATTACTTACAGATGGAGAAAACAAGGAAAAGTAACATTCCTTGTCACCTTCACTGAGCCTTTGATTCATGTATTCCTCTTTTGTCTCTTTGGTGGTCTCATTATCATTAGTGTAACGTGGGCAAAGAAATCCGTATTGTTTATCTTTGCCTGAAGAGACCAACATTTGATATAAAAACCTATGATAATGCAAATAAGTTAGTTCCAAGAGCTCAATTGTTTAATTTCATTTTAAATTTACACTTATAATAAGATATTTACATCATCCCAATTTGAATGTTAGTCATAGTTTGGTCACCATCAATGAGAATCCGACTTAGATCCTCATTCTCAACAAAAACTTGATAGTTGTTAATGCCAACAAAATCAGGAACCGCTTTAAAAATTCTAAGGGGAAATGATCCACCATATGCCAATAGGACAAAATGGTCCCATGAACTTAGCTTGCACAATTGCATCTTTTCACCTACTTTATCAAATGATGGGGTCTCCTGTTAAATTAAAAAAGTTAGTAAAACATGCTTAAATTTAAGGAATGCATAACAATTAATCAATTTTATTACCGAATTTTGAGGCATCCTGACAAGTCTCTTTGGCCATAAAGTGAAAGTGCCCTTGGCATCTTTTTACCGTCTTGATCTTATCAGTAGGGAATGGGATATCAGCATCGTCAATTTTGACCTCTTCAATGGTTACCTTGACAACATCTTCATGGATGCGACCGCGTGCTACTAAGCATTTTTTTATATTCTCCACATACAAGAAGCATTGCTCAAGGTTAGGAGTTGGGTCATCTTTTGAAGGAAGTTGAACGATGTTACTCTCTTTAGTGCTCCAATGACAAGTAAGAGAGGGGGTATGTGGGGCATTTGACACCTTCTGTGAGCTCATTTGCATTAACATTTCCTCCTTCATCTTTTGCAATCTAACTTCAAGGGTAACCTCAACCTCTGCTTTTGCTTGAGCTAACATCGCAGTCACCTCCTCCCTTGTCACAAGTCTTGAAGGATTGCGTTGACGGGGTGGTCCAAATATATCTCTTATGCTCACCCTTGATCTGATTCCTTGAACATGTCCAAGATGCTCTGGTTTCCCTATAGCAACAGTCAGGATATCATGCCTTCCTTTTGGAATGAATGATCCATCGAATTGTTTTTTATTAACCTCACTCTGTAACATATAAATAAAAAAAATTAGTAATGTTTTAGATATCACTTCAACCTTCCACTTATTTACAACAATACCATATCCTCCCTTTTCTAAACTGTTTGCACTTGACCCGATTTAGATATGTGGGTTTAAAAAACATATTTTTCTATAGCATAAATGCCTAATATAAGTATATAATAAGATTAAACTTTAAAGCTAAAGGGAAATTTTTTTTATGCCTTGTCATGAGCACAAGTCTAAAGAGAGAACCATTCTAAACCCTTCATAAATAGCTCTTTCCATGATACTAACCTCTCAATGAAAGTATCATTTGTCATGAGCATAAGTCTAAAGAAAGAGTCCATCTCAAAAGACTAGCTTGTTAGGTAGAAGAATCCTTTAAACTTATAAAAACTCATTTATCTTGTGAGGTTTCTTGAAGTGAGACTCACGACAGTACCCGTCGTAACTTAAACTTATCTTAATTCTAAATCTTCATCTTAATCTTAACACAAGCCTCCTATTGGTAACATTCAAGAAAGCATTGGGCTCCTCATAAAACTATAATTCCTCAACCTTTCTACAAACCGCTTCAAAGGCAATTTACCTCTTTACCTTCTAACTTGATTCAAGTTTATGAGCTTGATGTTTCCTATAACAACATAATTGGGACATTAGACCCTTGTCTTTTTTCTTGATGCTTCTAATCAACCTAAGACTAGATTGATTAAGATCAAAAGTCTTATTTTCCAAAATAACAATCTTGGCAGTAGAATTTCTAATGAAATGGGGAATATAAGAAATATGAATGTGCTAGCCTTATATAATAATAACTTCAATGGACCTATTCCTCAATCACTTGGGAACTATAAACATTCTCAGGATGTTTGAAATTAGGGTTGGCAATACAAGCTAGGCTTAATGGGCTACCCATTATAATTCATTTTTACAAGAGTTAGGTTTGGAAGGGATTTTTAATATAATAGGGTTTCTAAGCCGGCCTTATTAAGCCCTTAAAAAGGGGCTCGGACTTGGGTAGCTTATGTAATACTCTAAAATTTCAAACTTATTTTTCACAAATTAATAGTTTAATAAACCAATTTAATAACATTGAACCCTTACCATGATAGGGAAAGAGTTTTCCTTATAATAAAAACTTTTTGCAAATAATCTACTATCAAAGTATTTATTTACTAAGTGCTTCAAGTACACCTTTATTAAAATTTCAAAACTATGGTTGGGTAACCAACACTTTACAAACCATATTTTTACTATCATATCAACTCTGGCCCAAAAAATACTTTTCCACACACTGGTTACCATACCAATAAAACTACCACATAGGGTTACACTTGATCACAGTATTATTTCACAAATGCCACAAAAAATATACATTCTTAAAACATGCATAATTGCATAATTATATATTTCTATAATCCAATAAGACTATAAGGGGTAGACAGGAGTCTTATGGTTATCAATTAAGCAATATAGATGCAATTCACCAAAATTAGAGTCTACATGCTTTAAAAATATATTTGTCTTAGGTTAGCAAATTATACATTGCACAATCAAAATAAAGAAGCTAAATTAAAAAATGGTGTCTTATGCATTAAATCATGCTTCAGGTACTTCTTTAGTCGAACTTGTTCCTATAAAATTTAATAACAATAAGGAATGAGACTTAAGAGTCTTAGTAATCAAGATTAATACATAATAATGCATGTGAGTCAGTTAATCATGCGATTGCAAAGTGGGCATATGATATTCAATCAACTAGACAAAAATAGTTAATGCATAACATCACCTTTTTTCCTTCCATCTCCATGCTATGAATTGAGTAAGCCAGCCAAAGATAGATTGGACCAAGTTAATAGCAATTTATTGGGTCCAATAAGGGCTTACCATGTGGTAACTTAATTAGAAAAAACCCCTACTAAACAATATTCAGTACACTCTGAGAACTTATGCATTTATAATAAACCAGGTAAAATTAGTATCAACCAAATAAAAACACAACTAGACAATTTATCTCTTGCTTTTAGCAGTGTCAATATTTACAATATATATATATAGAATATAAATCAAACTCACTTGGTAATTATTTTCAAACAAATATATATATATATATATATATTATTCTTAACAAAAATCAAGATATTCTGAACAACAAAACAAACACACAATTAACCACACACACACTATACCCACATTAATAATAATTATCTTGTATCTTGGACAACAAATTTCCCTTTGTTAATGCTA